TATAGTAACTAAGATATTGAAGACCAGTCTTTCCTATAATTAGATTCAGTGCACCCACATGAGGTTATGACTATAGAATCGAACTGGCCAAGAGAAGAACTAGAATTAGAGAGGATTAGCCAAGACACTCTGCAGCTTCTCTCCCATTCCAAGCTTACTTAAGACAACCGGAGTTACACTAAGCTCTTATAATACCTCCAAGGTGGGGTGAAACAATAAGATTAGCTTCTTGGCCTACAAGAGTCTAGTAAGGCCCCATCTTATACTTTCATTAACCTACTAAATTCAGTTATTCTTCCCTGTAACATTTATAAAAGTAAGGAATTTCTTTTGTTCTGTGGGTTTCTGTTGAAACTCCTATCCCAGCTCCCATAGCAAGTGGCCAGTGTAGCTAACAAATATTTCACCAGGAAGAAAAAGAAGGACAAACCCAAGCCAAACAATATTTTTCAAAGTAAACACATTCCCCTAAAGTAGATGCTGATAATTTTATTACCTTTCTATATCTTATCCCACATTGTCTTGTACCCAAAAAGGACTTCAGACTTCTCTAAGTGGAACAATTAGTTTATATCATGCCACTTTGTATGTCAAAAGGACCTGAATAAATGACATTATGTCTTGTTAAGCTCAAAATTATTGAAGATACCTTAACTCACAAGAGTTGGCATCATCAAAAACTTGTCTGAGCGAAGTCTAGATTGTAAATCAAACACCCCAAATGGTGGAAATTAGTGAGTGAATCTAATCTTTCTTCTCTGATTCATCCATCTGGACTTCAGCAGATCAACAGAAAAGCAAATATCATTTCCTCCACCACCAACTGACTTACAGATAGCCAATGATGGGAGAGGGAAAGAAAGAATCTCCAAAAACTTCTTGGAATCCTCTCATAACAAGCTTCCTATGGTCCTGACCACAGAGTCACCTAGCCATAGGTCTATGAGTCCCCCTTCCTCAGTGACCATGGTTCTTCCCAGAAAAACAGAGGGCCTTGCTACCATGAACTGTGTGAACCTATTTATTTCTCCCGTGGGATCACCAAAAATGTTATTCAACTCAAATATCTCTGCTACGTGCTGTTTGTAGAGTCCAAAGACTCAGGAGGCAGGAGTTCATGGAAAAATATGTTTATTCAAAAACAGCCCTTTGAACTTATGCTTGGAGGGAGATCATGGGCATGAAGAAGGAAAATTTATGGGAGGGGAAATGGAGAATGTTGAGACACCAGCAGAAAGGTTCTGTGTTGTTACCAGCTGACCTGTCTCTTGTGTCCTCCATAGACTAGTTTGTTTCAACCTCCTGGTACCCATTAATATGTTTCTTCTAGACAGAAATACTAGTTTTCTACAAATTCATGCATATATTTTTGTTATGACTTGACCTTGATTCTGAAATATACCCCAAAGGCTCATGTATTTGAACACTTGGTGCCTAGCTGAAGATGCCATTTTAAGAGGTCATAGGGTTTAGCTGGCTGAGCTGGGTCATTAGAGATGCAACTTTATGTGTTATAGACTTGCCATTCTGATCAAATGCTCATGCTTCCTGGTCTGACCTTTATTTGAGAAACATCAGATAAACACTTTTGGTGCCATAGAGATGCTTTGCCATGACTTTATTAGCACAGTGGACTATTCCCTGAAACGGTGCTAAATAAACCTCTCCTCACTTTAGTTGTGGCTGTCAGGTGTTTTGTCACAGCACTGAGAAAACTAATATAGAAATCTGATAAGAAGAATTGGTGCTGTGAGAAAATTTGACTTGTAGTTTGTAGGCCAATGGAGCTGCTTTACATGCAGAGTCTTGGAGAGTTGCAAGCTGTGAGACAGAACAACCCTTTGGAAGTTACAATGTCTATCCAATGCATTTCCTCTCTTAAAGGGGAACAATACTGAAAAACTTGTCCCTGGAGTATTCTTTATAAATTTGAATCAATGGTGGGAACTCTAACAAGTAACTATTGCAAACTTAATATTAGAAAGTCGCAAACAACAACAACAACAAACCCTATCAATCCGTGCATTCTATTTGCCAGTTAGATTTTGTTAATTTCCATATTTTAATTGAATGTCAATATTTAATTTCAAAATGATATGGATTTTAGTTAGACATCAGCAGGTTTAACTTTTCTATATTTCATGAAAACTACATTATAAGATTACATTAGTATATCCATATAAGCTTAATATCAGTTTATTAATTTCTTTGTGATTTTGGTAGCAATGAGCAACATCCTTCTACCCTATGATTTAAGTATTGGTTAATTAAAATTCAGGAGTTATTATGCAAACAAAATAATCATAGTGTTAATGAAACTATGAGACAATTTTGGGAAAAAGATCCTGAAACAAATAAACCACAGTCAAAATACTCAAACAGTTGGGAACAGTGGCAAACACCTTTAATCTCAGTACTAGGGAGGCTGAAGCAGACAGATCTCTGTCAGATCAATGCCAGCCTGGTCTACCTAGCTAGTTCCAGGCCAGCTGGATCTACAGGGAGACCCTGTCTCAAAAAACAAAAGGCAAAAAACCTGAACCAAAAACTTACAAGATTCATTTGTTAATAAAATTACTTGCTGTGAAAGAGAGCTGTTCACTATTCACTAGTAACTTTCTTAAAGTTTTTAAATGTATTTTTATTGAGTTTTTGTGCATTTCATATAATAGATCTTATCAAATTTAGGCTCCCTCCCCCATCTGTACCCCATATTGAACACCCACCAGATTTCAAATACTGTCATGTAAGTTAAGGCTTATCCATTCAAGCGTTTGTACCCAGATGTCCCTTGATGCAAGCTCATTCACTGGAGTCCAGTCAACCTATCTAGAGTCACTCCCTTAAAGACCTACTCTTTCCCTTACTCCACAGTAATCAGTTGCCAATAGTTTCTCAGCTAAGGTTAGGGCCTGCTGCCCATTTCCCCAGTTCTATGCTGGATTTTTGTTTGACAGAGTCAGCATGGGTCTTTTGCATGCTGTCACCGTTCTTGCAAGTTCATGTGAGCAAGTTCCCATTGGCCTGAAAGCCTCTGTTTCCTTAAGTCCATGCAACAACAACCCTGGCTCTTAAAATCTTTCTACCCCTTCCCGCAAAGGTCCCTGAGTCATAAATGGGTGAGGTTTAATATAGAAGTCTTATCCAGGGACACCCCCTCTTCAGTCTCCTATTCTCTATACCTTGGCCAGTTGTGGCATTCTGTGTGTATCACACTATGTTGCATGAGGAAGTTTTGCTGGTGAGAGTTGAGGAATATATTAGCATTCTCTCTACCCCACGTTCTGCTATGTTCCATGAGCCTTAGGTACAGAGGTTCCACTATAGATGTGTCACTTAGGGCTGGTCATCTCTCAAACATATATTCTCTGTGTGTGACTGCAATATTCTCCATTTGCTGCAAAATGAAGCTTCTTTGATGAGTATTGTGTATTATACTTGCCTATAAATATAAGAATCTATATTTAGCATACAGTAAGAAATTTCATTTGTCTAGAGATATGACAGAGACCAGAGACAGAGATAGGGTTTACCCTAGGACCTATGACCTTTCCAGTCATGTGTATTTGGCTATACAGTGCCACCCATAAGTTCACTCCCACTGAGATGGCTTTAAGTCCAATTAGATAGCTGTTGATTACCCATAGATAAAAATGTCACTACTGCACCAATAGAGATAGTTTGCTAGGCCAGTGATTATGGTTATTAGCCTTACAGCTGGGTTGGACCATTGACTGATTTTTCTCCCTTAGTAACTTGTATAATATCCTCCAGAACTATGAAAGCTAGATTTAAAGGAGGAAGTTCCCGGTCAGTTCCAACTCCATTGCTCCAAGTCTTGAGCCTGAAGTATGTCCTGCCTTCAGCAATGGGGTCTTACCTTCAAGTTCCAGGAGGTAATCAAAGGCTGTGACAGTAGCTTGTGTAATTTTGGCAATCTCTTGGACTACCCTGACCAACAAATTGAAGGGGGGTTTCTTGAGTGTGACACTGTGATTCTTGTTATATAGCCTTCAGGTATACACATGTACTCATGTTTAGGTATTGTATATGTGTTATTGGGGGGGAGGTTGAGTTAATGCATTTCTATGGATCTTAGTAACAGAAAGGATAATAACAGCCATTTCACACATCTGTTATGGAGAGTAACTTTCACCTGCACAGAAGTCAACTCCAAATGGAAAAAAAGATCTCAACATGAAACCTGAAACTCAGAAATGCCTAGGAGACAACATAGGCATTACACATCTGTTATGGAGAGTAACTTTCACCTGCACAGAAGTCAACTCCAAATGGAAAAAAAAGATCTCAACATGAAACCTGAAACTCAGAAATGCCTAGGAGAAAACATAGGCATTACTTTACAATATATAGGTGTAGGAAAGGACTTTCTAAATCAGACATCAATTTCTCGGGCATTAAGATCAATAATTGACAAATGAGACCTCATTAAACTAAAAAGCTTCTGTACTAGGAAAAAAAACCTACCAAGGAAGTAAAGAGTAAACCAATTGAGTGGGAAAAAATCATCTATTACACATTCAACAGAGGATTAATAGCCAGAGTATATAAAGAACTATAAAACAAAGAAAGAAGAAAATAGACAACCCAATAAAAAGATGGGCTAAGGATCTGAACAGAGAGTTCTCAAATGAAGTAATAAAAATGATAAAAGATAAAATAAAAATGATAAAAAGAAACACTTTAAAAAGTGCACAACATCCTTAGTAATTATAGAGAAATGTAAATCAAAATCATTTAAGATATCATCTTACCCCAGTCAGACTGGCTAATAGCAAGGCAACAAACGACAACAAATGCTGGCAAGGATGTGGAGAAAAGGGTACACTCAGTCACTGCTGATGGGATTCTAAACGCATGCTACCACTATGGAAAGCAGTGTGGTAAGGAAAGATGAAATCATGAAATTTGCAGGTAAATGGATCAACTAAAACTGTTTTACTAAGTGAAGTAACACAGACTCAGAAAAACATGCGACATATATTCTCTCTTCATTTGTGGATCTTAGCTCCAATACTTTATATGTAAGTATAGGTCCTGAAGTAACAGCAGGAGCCAGACAATGGAAAGTATTCACAGAGGTAAAGGCACAGAAAGAGACAAAGGGGGATAGTAGGAAACTGAGGTTACCAAGGGGGAAATGGAAAAAATGGGGGGTGTCCAGTTGGGAAGGAAGAGGGAAAGACATACAAGGAAACATGGGGATAAACGGGAAGAAGGAACTCAAGAGAGGGGAAAATAATAGGAGACAGGGGTTATCAGGGAAAAATAGGAGTAATTTTGTTAATATTTTGCACAGGCATTTCCAGAAAATATTCTAAAACCTTTAGAAAGAGCTCTCTTGCCGCTTTTGTACTCATTGCAATTTTCCATGCAACCAAAGACAAGGATCCTGGAAAAGATAAAAAATAGTGCATGTCAACTCCTGAAAACATTTTACCTCCATTAAGCAATAATGACTAATCATTTTATTCATTTCCCTTTTCCCAATTAATGGTTCAATCATCAGTTCACAAAAAAGAGCTAGTATGGTATATTTTTAATTCATTGTTGGCAATATCATTTTGGAAAATATAGCCTGCCAATTTTATGCCATAATTTCTGTGAATTTAGGGGTGAAAAAAATTAAGAAAGAAATGCATATATCCAGTGTTCTTGATTACTGGTAATACTTTGTAACAACTATTTCCATAAATATGGTAAATTTAGCAAACCACTTCATATCTATTAAAACATGACATAATTCTGAAAGAAAGGTTGAAAATACTATATAACAACTGAACATTGTTCTATCAATCACTGTGTGAAGGACAGCTGCCTGCTGACTGGCAGTGTTGCACTACAACAAAGGCTCTAAGAAAAAAAGGGCCATCAATTGTACCAGGGCTCTAACAAGTTTGGCTAGATCAGATACTCTAAAGAATATGGAAGCTTTCCACAAATGTAAATAATTTATTCATGTTTACATTGTCCCACTATAATTTGATACTCAAAACATTTCCCTTTACAAAATATTAATAGCATAATTGTATTAATAGTTTGTCTCAAAGGTCCAGGGCACAAGTATAAATTAGGGATGACATAGTAGTCTTAGTAATCTTAGTTACTGAATTGCGGTTTTCACTCTGCTAGGAAACTCAGCAATTGACATGATGGAACAAAGTCTTCCTATAAGTCAGTTGACAGTAATTTCATTAATCATGGAAGGATTTTTTTTGAAATTCATTTATTTTCTTTACATTTAAGAGTAAAGTAGAAAGTTTATTTAGAAAAGGAAATCTCATGAGTAAAATCAGGATTGTATGTGGACATACAGACTTCATAAGATGTATTTTACTTGATGGTATAGACCCAAGTTTCAGAGTGGAATCCAGATCAAAGGAAGGACACAAATGTAAGAAATGAGACCAGGTCTGACAGCTGTTAAGAGCAATTATTGTTCTAACAGAGAACCCAGGTTCAGTTCCCATGCACCCAATGGCTACATGCAACCATCTGTCATTCCAGCTCTGTAAACCTGATGTCTTCCTCTGGCTTCTATGGGAGGGAACCAGGCACATTGTTGGTACACATCTATGCATGTATGCAAAACATTCATACACATGAAATAATAATAGACAAAACTAAAAATCAAAAATCAAGAATGGTGATAGTTCAGTTGCCTTGCCATTTATCAGGAATAATTATTACTAAACACATGTTAAGGATACAAATAGGAGCTCACACTTTTTAACATGCTGTGGTGACTATAATCTCTAATTTAATTACTTTATGAACCCTTTAATACATATAGTCCTGACTTATGTACTATTTTAAAAATTATACCTGTAAGTCTATGAGTGACACCAAGTACTTGTAATAGTAGCAGAACTCTGTTCTGAAGAGGAGTGAAGTCACCAATGAAAGGGGCTATGTCACCATCAACAAGAACTCGTGGTGGAAAACCAGCCTGGAAGTTATGTGTTCTATTCAAGGTTGTAGGAAGGCGGGATGCAGCTAAGTAATTTACAGCAACAGCCCAATTTTTCTCAAAATCTGCTTCTGGTTCAAAATAATAGGCATATCTAAAAGACAAGTGAATAAAAAGTTCAATGATGATTAGGACAGAATTTTTTTTCACTTTCTGTAGAAAAAAAATCATCTGGTACCAAGAAACAAGGTCCAAAGTTTATTTAGAAAATAGGAATAATAATGTCATGATTTTTGTTCATCTTTCAGGAGTTCCATAGACAGTTAAAATTTAAATCTATGTAGGACCATTCTATCTGCCACTTCTTTTTTAATATTTTACTTTCCTTTTTGCTCTTCCACCTTGGCATTTTCTACTTCACCACCACGTGATAAATGAATGTTAAGCAATGTTTGAATAATAGCAGCCAGGAATGGGGCACATGCATACAATTCTACCTTGGGATGTAGAAGCAAGAAATTCAGGAGCTCAAGACCATCCTCAGCTATACAGTGAGTTTATGCCCTGCTTGCACTACATGAGATCCTATTTTATTTAAAGAAAAACAAAAGAGAGCTAAAATAAACAGAAAAAGAAAGAAAATTGCCTCCAAACCAGAAATTGTGCTGGACTCACAAATCCTTTGTAAATCTGATTTGCAGAAGTCAGGAATTCTCCAAAATGTTGAGCATCCTAGTGAAAAATCTCTGATTTTCTTGGCTAATTTTCAAAGGAATCCAATTTTTTAAAAATACTTTATTTAGCCGGGTGTGGTGCGCACTCCTGTAGTCCCAGTACTTGGGAGGCAGAGGCAGGCGGATCTCTGCAAGTTCAAGGCCAGCCTGGTCTATACACTGAGTTCCAGGGCAGCTGGGGCTACAGGGAGACCCTGCCTCAAAAAGACAAAAAAAAATTTATTTATTATTTTTATTTTATGAATGTATTGCCTGCATGTATGTGAGTGCACCCTTGTTGTGCAAGGCTGTGGAGGTCAGAAGAGGGCTTCGAGGAATCCAATTTTTAACCAGAGGAATTCTCAGGGCTGGAGAGATGGCTAAGCAGTTAAGAGTACTGACTGTTCTAGCAGAGGACCCGGGTTTGATTCCCAGCACCGACATGGCGGCAATGAACCGTCCTTAACTCCAGTTCCAGAGGAATCCGAAGCTCTCTTCTGACCTCCACGGCATTGCACAACATGGGTGCACTCACATACATGCAGGCAATACACTCATACACATAAAATAAAATAATAAAATATTTTTAACAAGAGGAATTCTCTCAAAAAGCTGACATTTCTCACTTAAATACCAAAAACTAAGAGGATCAAATAGTTAAGAGGCATTTTTTTAGAACAAAGACTGAGTTTTAGCTCTAGACAACAGGATAAGCACAAAAAGAAAGATAATTATTAGCAACAAAGTATCAATAAGAAAATGATTGCTTAGTAATCAACTCAAAAAGATTACCTAAGTGTTGGTTCACTTTAGAAACACTCCACTAAGAACACTGAACTTCTCAAGGCTGGTCTTTAAATTTAACAGACAACAAAGTTAGTCAGATATGATTCAGGGTGTTCTCGAATGTAGATTAAGAGAGACCAGAACAGATTGGAAGGCAGGAAACAGCAAAATGAAGCAAAACACCGTTTACATAAAAGTATCAGTGATATAACCGCACTCAGATATTTCAAGAGCAAAAGTGAAGTGTAAAAGATGGAAAAAAAACACCTTTTAGATAATTATTACCATATTCTTGTGTCCATTAAATCCTCAGAAAGCAATAAAATAAAAAAATAAAGAATATTGGGACTGGAGAGATGACTCAGCAGTTAAGAGCACTGGCTGCCCAAAGAATATATTTTCTATTCAGCACCCCATGAAACTTTCTCCAAAATTGACCATATACTGGGGCACAAAGCAAACCTCAACAAATACAGAAAGATTGAAATAATTCTGTGCATTCTATCAGAACACAAAGCAATAATACTTAAAATCAACACCAGAAGAAACCTTAGTAACTACATGAATACATGGAGATTAAACAACACACTCCTGAATAATGAATGGGTCAAAGAGAAATTAAGAAAGAAATAAAAGTATTCCTGGAACTAAATGATAAGGATAATACAACACAAAACCGCTGGGACACGCTGATAGCAGTCCTGAGAGGGAAGTTTATAGCTCTAAGTGCCTACATTAAACAATCAGAAAGAACACAAATAAATGGCTTAACATTGCAACTCAAGACACTTGAAAAACAACAATAAATGAAACCCAAACTCAACAGACAAGAAGAAATAACAAAAATCGGAGCAGAAGTCAATGAATTAGAAACAAAGAAAATACAAAGAATCAACAAATCCAAGAGCTGGTTCTTTGAAAAGATAAACCAGATTGACAGACCATTAGCCCAGCTAACCAAAAGAAAGAAAGAGTACCTCCAAATCAACAATATCAGAGATGAAAGGTGAAACATCACAACAGACACCAAAAAGATCCAGAACATTATAAGGGAATACTTTAAAAGCTTATACCCTACTAAATTGAAAACCTAAAAGAAATGGACAGGTATCTAAAAGCATGGGAACTACCAAAACTAAACCAAGAAAAGATTAACAGCATAAACAGATCCATAGCACATAAGGAGATTGAAACAATAATAC